TTTAAGAAACGGAGGTTAGGGAAGCTATGTGGTCTACCTAGCCAATAGAAAATTTAGTTTCCAGTGTGTTTAAACCAATCAGAATTCAGACTGCTGCTGCAAGCCCTGCCTTTCTTCCCCGAATCCGCAGCATTGTGTGTGTAAGCGAGAGAGATCCGCCATGAGAAGGAAACGGTTAAGCTGGGCAGCATGAGAGTCTCCTGTGTTAAACCGGTTATACAACTCTAAACAAACGCTTTCCCAGATAGTGGCTGTTTATCATCCGACTTCTGGGCTGGAGGTGTGAGGTGAAAAGGGAAGAGGGACGACTTCGCTTTTTCTGCCGAGCACCGTTGGAGCTAGCTCGTTGGCTCTAACGGCTAACGGCTACTAGTTTAGCTCTAACGGCTACTGGTTTAAGTTCATTTCACTCTTCCTTCAGTTGAAGTGCCACACTGGTCCGGACTGAGAGCCACCATATTATTGTCCCTAACGTGTCGCTTTGAGATTGGTCAGGTTTTTTTTTTGCTGGATTGTTCCTGAGGTTGGATTCCTCCTGTGATTTTGATGGCGAACCTTCTCACCTGGACTTAGAAAGAACTGGATTCCTGGATTCCTTCTTTTCCATTTGGAGTCCTGCTGCACCCCGCGGTGTTGTAGGCCTGTACCTCCCACATCTTCACACACAATTGGTTATGAGTGAGACCACTGACTGACATTTTTCATTTATTGTTTAATCCTAGAATTTCTGACCTTACCTTTTGGACCAGTTTTTATTTGAAACTTTATAACCAACTGCTGTGTAGGAAATTCTCCTCATGTGAACGGTGTTGAGTTGAACCTAATTGGAACTGAAATTGATTAGTCTGTTGCCTATTACGATTTAGAATTCAGATTACCAGGGTGCACCCAAAATATTCAAAACTGAGAACTAGCACTTGGCCAAGTATTTGTATTATTTTTTGTATTTTATTGTGTGTAATTTTATTTTCATAATTGTGTGTCTTGTATAACTGTTAATTTCATGGTTTATGTCACTAAAGCCAGTTGTTTTTTTTAAAATTCATTTAACTGCCTTTGTGTGTCATTTAAACACCCCACCATGCTCCGATAGTCGAACCTATTGGCCCATTCATATATATAATACCCTTCTCATCTGTGTTACAGATGAAGCTTTGGCGAGCCAGCCAGGAGCAAGAGTGTGTGTTTAAGTGTCAGACATCTTACCCCTGTTGTTTGAACGTCCCAAGTACTTTTTCTGAAAAGAAAAATGAATGTAGTACTCCGGGAGTCGGTCCTAATTTCCCATTCTGTGGTTGTTAGTGGTTTAACAGGGTCAGAGACAGATGAGGAAGTGTCCATCTTTCTCCAGAAGTATGGGTCCATTAATCGTTACATTCACTTGGATGATCCTAAGTCAGATTTCCATAAAAACATGATTATTGAGTTTTCACATGAGACTGCCATGCAAACATGGGAGCCATTGTTGCCTCTTCAGCTTCCAAGCACGACTCAAGCAGGCATTGTGTACGAGTTAAAGGCTTTAGGAAGTGTCTACACATTAGATGCCAGAAGCAAAGCTACTAAGATGTACATGGAACAGCTCTCTGAAATTACCAGGCTGAGTGGAAATTCATTAGGGGAAATGTTGAAGGAGGAACTTAAAAATCTGGTTTCATCTGCAGAAAGTGCTTTTGCCCAATCACCTGAGACTGATCCAGAATCCTCAGCTTCACAGAGTCCAACCCCACGAAAAGACTCAACTAGCCAAAGAGATGTTTCATCTTCTGAAAACCAAACCAGTGATGCCTACCAAATCCACGATTTTGACACCGGCAAGTGATCCAAGTGAGCCTCTTACCCCTTCCATTTCCAGTAAAAACCTGATTGATCTCAACCCCCCACAGACTTTTTCTGTTTCATCTGCATTTACTGATATGCCCCTAATCGATGTTAACTCAACTGCAGTTCAGCGAGTGGTGGTTGAGCATGTGGTGCGCAGCAATGATAACTCACCCCAGTTTGCTTCACCCAGTAGACTCAGAGCTTTTTCAGGCAAGAGTCCACGTCCAAGCCATGAAGCAGATTATGATACATGGCGTGTAAGTGTTGAAATTCTTATCAGAGACCCATCTGTGTCAGACTTGCATTGCACAGATCGTATATTAGACAGTCTTCTTCCTCCTGCTTCTGAAATGATCAAACATTTGAGCCCACAGTCTAATCCCTCAACTTATCTCAAGTTGCTTGACTCTGCTTACGGTACAGTTGAAGATGGTGACGAGCTTTATGCTAGGTTCATGAGCACGTTCCAGAATGATGGAGAGCTACCTTCTGTTTTCCTGCAGAGACTGCACACTGCTCTAAGCAAAACAATGAGACGTGGTGGTGTGTCCGCTCATGAGTTTGACCAACAGCTTTTAAAGCAGTTCTGTAGAGGTTGTTGGGAAAACACTTTAATAGTTGATCTTCAGTTGGAACAAAAGAAAGAAAAACCACCTACCTTTGCAGAATTGTTGCTCCTTCTTAGGACAGAAGAAGATAAACAGGCTGCAAAAATGACTCGCATGCGACAGCATTTTGGCCATGCCAAGTCTGGCCATAACCCCAGCAGGCAGCGTGCCATGTCACAAGTGCATATTGCACATGACACTAATGATTTGATAAATAAAACTGATTTTGAGATGCTCAAGCAACAAATTGCTGACCTCAGCATTCAGGTGAAGAGCATGGTGTCCGCGGGCCAAAAGCCAAAACAACCTAAGGAACAAAAAGCAAAGTCTGTTCCTCTAAGTGTCACACATGAAGCCCATGTGGTGAAACCAAAAACAGCCCATCAGCATCCCTCCACATTTAAAGCAAATGGCAGACCACGTCCCTGGTACTGTTTCCAATGTGGAGAGGATGGCCATGTTGTTTCAGTTTGTGATAAAGCACCAAATCCTTCCCTTGTAGCAGCTAAGAAAAAACAGCTAAAAGAAAAGCAGGCTGCTTGGGAAGCCTCTAATGCTTCTCGGAGTGAGACACATTTAAACTAGTGTTGGCTCCCATAGAGGGACGTATGGGAGCAAAGTTACAAAACTCCAGTCCCAAAACCATGAAATCTGTTGTCAAAAGTGTTGAGGTAGAAGGGTCAAAATTACCACATGGCCTTGTGGGAACTAAAACCACAGCTCAAGTATCCATTGCAGGGAAAGACACAAACTGTCTACTGGACACAGGTTCACAAGTCACAACTGTGCCCCAGTCCTTTTATGAAAAACACCTTTCTGATCTGACCATTCATTCTTTAAATGATTTGCTTGAAGTGGAGGGTGCTAATGGCCAGTTTGTTCCCTATTTAGGATATGTTGAGCTTACCATCACCTTTCCTAAAGAGTTTGTTGGCTCTGATATTGAAATTAATACTTTGGCCTTGATTATTCCACACCTCCGCTCTACAGCCCATGAACAGGTGCTTATAGGCACAAACACACTCGACGTTCTTTACGCTGATTACCAGAAACTTTCTCCTTTTCAGCCTTTGATGAATGGATATCAGGCTGTTCTCAAAATACTTGAGATACGACAAAGGGAGTCTAACCACAGCCTTGGTTGTGCAAAACTAATAGACAAGCTGCCTAAAGTCGTTCCTGCAAGACAGACCGCTGTCGTTGAGGCTTTTGTTCATGTTGATCGTTTCAACATTCAAAGAGATGTCATTATTGAGCAACCATCAGCTTCTTCTCTACCGAATGGGTTGCTGGTTTCAGCGATTGCCGTAACTTTACCAAGCAAGCGCTCATGTCATCTTCCTGTCGTACTGAGAAATGACACCAATCATGACATTGTCATTCCCCCCAAAACTATTGTGGCAGATGTTAATGCTGTAGTACAAGTGTTACACAAAGAACATGTCGCCAGTGAGCCAGACTTTTCTCAGTCTCCAGCAAAGTCTTCCCGAGAGCTAAGCTTTGATTTTGGAGACTCACCCTTATCCACTGAATGGAGAGACCGAATAACAAAAATGTTAAACACCATGCCAAACGTTTTCTCTCAGAATGACCTGGATTTTGGCCATACTGATAAAGTGAAACACAGAATCAAGCTCAGTGATGAGACGCCTTTTAAGCAAAGAGCCGTCCGATACACCCCAATGATGTGGATGCTGTGAGACAACATCTACAGTAACTCCTAGATTCTGGTGTCATCCGGGAATCTGAGTCCCCATTCGCTTCCCCAATCGTTGTGGTTCGCAAAAAGAATGGTTCTGTTCGTCTGTGTGTAGATTACAGAAAGCTGAATCTACAGACCATTAAGGACGCCTACGCTCTTCCAAAACTGGAAGATGCTTTCACTGCACTTGCTGATTCTAAGTGGTTCTCCGTCCTAGACCTCAAGTCAGGTTACTACCAGGTCGAAATGGAAGAAGCAGACAAACATAAGACCGCATTTGTGTGTCCAGTTGGATTCTGGGAATTTAACAGGATGCCCCAAGGAATAACAAATGCGCCTTCAACCTTCCAAAGACTGATGGAAAAGTGTGTTGGTGATATGAACCTAAAGGAAGTTTTAGTGTTCATTGATGACCTGATTATTTCCTCATCATCACTGGAAGAACATGAACAGCGCTTGCAGCGTGTTCTTGAACGACTGATGACATATGGTTTGAAACTAGCACCAGAAAAGTGCAAATTCTTTCAAACATCAGTAAAATACCTTGGCCACATTGTTTCTGAGAGAGGTGTTGAAACCGACCCAGAGAAAGTTCTGGCCAACCCCACAAATCTTAAAGAGCTTCAATCCTTTTTAGGATTTGCTGGATACTACCGACGATTCATTCAAGGGTACTCTACTATTGTAAAGCCCCTTAATGAACTAACTTCCGGTTATCCACCGTTCAGCAAGTTGAACAAGAGACAGAAGATAAATGCAGGTTCAGAGTATCGCGACCCAAAGGAGTCCTTTGGTCAGCGGTGGACATCCCAATGTCAGGGAGCCTTTGATGATATAATAAAAAAGCTATCATCAGCTCCAGTCTTGGGATTTGCAGACCCCCAACTTCCGTATGTCCTACATACAGATGCCAGCACTGTTGGCCTTGGGGCTGCATTATATCAGGTTCAAGATGGTCAATCTCGAGTCATAGCTTTTGCAAGTCGAGGACTTTCCAAGAGTGAGAGAAAGTACCCTGCTCATAAGCTTGAATTCTTGGCCCTTAAGTGGGCAGTCACAGAAAAATTTTCTGATTACCTTTATGGTACAGATTTCACAGTAGTGACTGACAGCAACCCACTTACATATATTTTAACACCGCAAAGCTTGATGCGGCAGGGTATAGGTGGTTGTCCAGTCTTTCTACTTACTCATTCAGTCTTCAGTACAGATCGGGTAAGCAAAATCTAGATGCCGACGCACTCTCTCGCCGACCTCACGATCCACCAGAGGATGATTATACATCCAAGAAGGAAAGCGAGAGAATCCGGCAGTTCACACTGTACCATCTGAGTGATTTTCACAATCCAGAAACTGTTTCCCAGGAGGTGATTAAGGCTATTTGTGAACGTCATATGGTCACCTCATCAGTAGCTGATGTTCAAGCTACCACTCCTGGGTTGACATTGGTTGAATCCCTTACTCACCAGTCCTCAGCAATTCCCGACTGCTTCCTGCAGGAGCAAGTGGATGGGTCCCCTCTTGTCCATTCATTTTCAGAAGAAGAGTTGAGGCAAAAACAAACCTTAGATCCTGCTATCAATGCAGTCATTGTACTTTTGGAGTCTGGTGAAACTCCATGTCCCAGCCTTAAGCTGGAGTTACCAGAACTACCCTTGTTACTCAGAGAGTTGTCTCGGTTGGAAATACAGAATAGAGAGCTCTATCGTAAGCGACTGGATGGTCCAAACATCTCATATCAGCTCGTGCTGCCTGAGGAGCTAAGAGCTACGGCACTTAGGAGTCTTCATCATGATATGGGCCATCTTGGAGTCGAACGAACAGTAGATTTGGCAAGAACCAGATTTTATTGGCCAAAAATGTACATGACCATAGAGAAAAT